ATAATAGGGACTTTAGCCTGAAGACAGATGAGCCTGAAGTAGTAACTGTTCGAGAGAGAACATAAAAGTGGTCAAAATATGTTCAAATACAACACTAAAAGCTTACAGTTATCTCAAGGATTCCAAATAGTTCACATTCATAAGGCAAAAAAGGTCAGAAATTGAGTTCCAGCTCATCTGAATGATGAATCAAAGATTTTGCAACTGCAAAAGAAGTCCACAATTATTTTCTTTCTACCTCCAAAAAGGTCAACAAAAATATAGGATGTATTTTTACTCTTTAGAAGATACTTATATCTCTTTACTCTATAAGGTTTTAACTCAACTTTAACTAAAACTGAATTTTCTCAAAAAAAATTACACTTTTTGTAGCAATGCTGTACATTTCAAAAGGAAAATTATTTTTACAAAGACAAAGGCTCAGTCATAATTCCAAATACCAATAAAACTGTCATTTCTAAAAATTATGCTTTTATTCTTTTCCACTAACAATATATAGTATATTATGTATTATACACTCAGCCATCTTTATTTGTTATCAGTATTTTTAAAAAATAGAGAATTTCCTCAATGACATAAGTAACATAACACGGTTACTCTATCATACTAAAGACATTATTTTATATTTTCTCTTGATTTGAATAGGATCAGCATCATTGTTCTACTAATCACCACTGAGATGAAATGACATTCCCTCAGAATCAGATCAATCATCTTTACAAAGGAAAAATAAAAATCCACATAACACGAACACATTGTTTGGAAATGTGAGTCTTTTATGAAAACACTTCCTAATCAACATTGTGAGTCTGTTATGAAAACACTTCCTAATCAACCCCAGTAAAGTAATTATAGTCTGAGGAATTCAACATAGGGGTATTAAAATGTAAATTTGGAATTTTAAGAAGATAAAGCCAGTAAGACAATCTTCCCAAGGTTAACAACAGTACAAGTCTTCACCCTTATAGGAAGCAATGTAACACTCTCTCAAGAGGACATGAGGGCAGGATTATCATACCCTGACCTCTGCTCCATAAGAGGAAAAGGGCCAGTAGGTGAGATACCAGGTGGGCTGACAATGTAGGTACAGCACACTAGAGTTATCAAAAGCTAAATATATTCCAGGTAAGCTTTGCACTCATAAATAAAGACTGGGGGAAAAAATCTGGAGAGGGCAAACATAAAGAAACAGTAAGAATAGAGGTGGATAAAAGGGAGCCTAGAAAATACTAACGAAGATGGTCTCTCAGATCAGAGAACCTGAATTAGACCAGCACCCATGTTATGTCATGGAAATGGTTTATCCATAGTGTCATTTATAAAGACTGTTGATGGGGGTGAAGAGGCATACACAGTGGGGTCAAGTTAACAGCTTTAGTCAGAAACCGGACCTATGGAACCAAAGCCAACACAACCTTACTTCTTCAGAGATGAAAATGTGCTAAATGGAATAGCCTCATCTTTGTCTTCAGAGTTAAGCATAAATTGTGCCTCTCCAATTTAACTGTAAGGTATCTGAGGGTAGAAATTAATAATGCTAATGATAATTAAACAGGATTAAGAGGAAACAGGCTAGACTGGCAAGAAATACTAGGGCCCAGAAAAAAAGACTGTATTCAAAAGGCAGAGTCATAACTGGGAGACCCTGGGAAAAACGATTTAGAGCTCTGAATCTGCATCAAGCTTCCCAAGTAATAGGAAACCATATTTGTAATTACTTCAACTGATGGTAGTTTACAAGAAATCAACAGAATCATTACAGAGAACAAGGGGAAAGCACCCAATTTAACACTCAGGAATCAGAAAATGCTTCTCAGGAGAAGTAGTCCTAAACTAAGATTTTAAGTATTAACAGAGCTAGACACAACACTGTAAACTGACTATACTTCAGTAAATAAATAAATATATACATACACACACACACACACATATATAAAGAAACTACATAAATACTGCTACAATAGTATACAAATTTGACATTCAATTTGTGACTGAATTTGTGGATAACTACAACATTTTTCTTTTTGAATTAAAAAAATAAAAAATGAATGAATGAATGAATAAACAAATAAATAAAATTTTAAAAAACAAAAACAACAACAAAAAAAACCAGAGCTAGTAAGAGCAGGAGGAGGAAGTTCCCAGGAGGAGGGAACTAATTTTGCTAAAATCTAATAGAAACAAAGAAAACACAGCAAGTTCTAAAAACAGAATATTTCTGCGTGTCTAGAGCATACAGCATTTAAGAGAAGGAAGAGGATATGAGGGACATGAGAGAAACAAACAGGAGTCATTTCATAAAGAGCCCTGAAGGTATGTTAAAGAGCTTGAACAATGATGGGGTTTACACAGACCAGATTAAACATTTTAGAAAGGTCATTCTAGTTGAAATATGTTAAATGGATTAGAAGAGAGAAAGCTGAAGACGGAAAAAAAACCAGTAAAGATGCTACTGCAGATAGTGGGAGCAGCTGGTTTAAAGGTAGGGGGAAAATATTCCAGAGAGAAATAACATTTAATAAAGAAACAGGGAAGAAGTAACATTCAGAGACAATACAAATCTTCCAGAATTGATGAAAGTCAATAATCCTCAAATTCAGGGAAACCAACTAATCCAAGCAGGATTAAGAAAAAAACAAAAAGACTAAATCCTCACCTAAACATATCCCAGAGAAACTACGGCATGAAAGATGAGAGCATATTAAAAGTAGCCACAGAGAAAAGACAAAGGAACAGCAATTAGACTGACAGGTAACTTCTCAACAGCCACAATGAAAGCCAGAAGTCAGTAGAATGCTATCTTCAAAAGAGCTGAGAAATTCCTAAACATATAGAGCAAAAAGAAACATATCCTCTCAACTATGCATTCAGTAACAGTGAGCAGTTACAGGACCCAGACAGTAGTCTCTAAATACCACTGCCCACTAAACTGAAAGACTAACGAGAAATTGATAAATACCATCACAGAAGTAGATTTGACACGTATCTCTCAACAATTAACTGAGTAAGGAGGAAAAAAATCAGTGAGAAACACAGAAGATCTGAACACTACAAAATTAACAATGTATGTGTGCATATGCATACATTTCAGGCTGAAGTAAGAAAATTATAAAGGTACGGCAGTGGAAAAGTATAGGATTGTTTCAGGGAAGAGAAGAGTATGTGTAGCAGACGATACTATTAAAAATACAGGTTAGGGCAGTATTGGAACGTATACTAAATGCAGAGCAGGCATCATGCGGTAACTGAATATTGAGGTAATAAGGAAACCAAAATAGTAGGAGAAATGGAAAACAAGAAACTGAATATAAACTACCTTTATGTTACTAAAGTGGAAAGGTAAATTGTCAAGTGATGAAAAACAGTATATACAGCATAATTTCTCTTTATTTAAATAACAGTGTGTATACACATATATAAACATGTTCATAAAATAAAGTTTGTAATGATACACACCAACCATAAAGATGGCACTTGAAGGTACGCAGTGAAGAGGGGAAAGTCATATTTTCATTTAATCACTTGTTTTATTTTTTTGTTTGACTGTTTTTCTTTTTTATAGTATACTTACTTTGCTTTTGTAATATAAATATCATGTAAAATGAACATTAAAAACAAAAAAAGCAATATAACTTCCTACAGTAGAGGCTAGAGTTTAACTCTGCTAGTTTTTATAGCTGTTACTAGCATTTCAAATACCCACCAAGAGGTTAGCTAATCTACTTCTATTATCTGACAGATACCAGGATACTCTTACCAGCATTTGAAAGACTCCATGAAAGGAAATATTTGGAAAATGAATTTCCTAACATTCATTAGAACTGAATAGCATGCTAAAATCATTAGTAGCAATTTTACCTTGATAATTTTTAAAATTATATAACTTAACACATTTTTTACAATGTATCTGTAACAGAGATTATAAGACAAAAACAATTTCATCCCCATGTCCTATCTAATTTCCTTAGGGTAATCAGTGTTAATTTACTAATTTATATCATTATCAATGTTCATATACAGATCTTTGCTTTTGTTTGTTTTCATAAAACGATAATTATTTATACATTACTTTGCATCTTGCTACTTATATTCATCAGGACAATTTTAGATACATTTACCAACAGCTGCAAAAACACATTTCTTATTGTCTACATGACATGGTTTCAGAGTTTTTTAAGATATTTTGTTTAGAAAACTCAGTCTAGAATAGTTAAGCTGGCAAAAATGATAAAATAGGACATAATAACCTGGTTACTACAAGATAACAGTTTTTTCTCTTTTTTTTGTTTATTTGCTTATTTGCTTTGTTTTACAATACATCTTTCTAGCTATAAATCCATTATCAAGTGTGTTTAAATTCTCATTGGTAGTCAACTAAAAATAAGCCTAAGTAACCTAAGATACTACATGCTTGCCCAGGCCATGCCAAGTCAGTGCCCCTGAGAAATCCCCAGGAGGCTACAGGGGGTGTCTGACCAATTCTGCAGAGCACTGAGTCAGATTCTGAACCACTGCCTCAAATAGCACTCAAAGAAATTAGATAAAGTGACCTATGAAGTCATTATATCCACCCCCATCTCAGGAAATCTTGGTCCCAAAGAAACAATAACCAGTTTTCTGTCCAGTCCAACTTTTACTATATACAGGACAGATCATTCACCATACCCCAAGAAGAATATTTCAACAATTTTAAAGAGTTTAACATATAAAGAAATTATAAGAATAAACTCCAATTTTCCAAAGATGTACTAACTTACTCTTACCTATCATCATTTTTTCTAGCTAAAAAAAAAATCTGTGTTTCTCACTGGAGCACCATCCTTCAGATAGTTAGTTACAGCTCAGATAGTTAATAGTCATAGCTCTAACATAATTAGAAAAAATGAAAACACTATGACATGACTTTGGCAGGCACACATTTTCGTTTAATATGACACAATAAGATAATTACTTTTTACCTAAAAGTTGACCACTACTATCAATATTCACTCAAAACTTACTTCCAATTCTTTAATTTTTTCTTCTGCTATTTTCTGTTTCTCCAGCAGCTGACTGTGAATTGCTTCCTTGGACTGAAGAATAAACCTACAAAACATGAAAAAATTGAAGATTAAGCCACATAATCACTATATTCATCAAAACCAACAGCTACATGCCACAAATATTAAACTAAGAAAACGAAAAGGATGACCTCCCAATTCAGAACAAATAAAATGCGTTATTACATTAAATAAGACAAACTCAGGAAACTACCACAGGTTTAAGCCTTCTTGGCTAAGAAGGAATAAAAACTTAAAAGTAAATTCTGCCTTCTTGTCTAAGAAGGGAATCCAAGTAGATCTGTTGACAAAAGGAAAAGGAAAAAAAAACATAAAGGGATAAAAATCTATTATAGGCTAAGAGAAAAGTTAACAAAAATTCCCCAAAACTTTAATTTTTCAGTATCTACATCAACTTATATCTAGATATTTTTCAAACAATATTTGTAAATTACAGCTCCCCCTCCAATCTTTTAATTTTTTTCTTTTTGTAACAGCAGTAACTCATGACCTTTTAAAGTCACAATCAAGTACTGTGTTAGGATCAATGCATTAGTGTTTATATGATTTCCTCACACAAAAAGCACTGTATAAAGCCCTATCTTTTATTATTATTTCCAGAGTGTATAATACCTCTTAAAAGCTCAAAATGCACAAGTGGAAATTTTCAACTTTTTCCATTTTACATTCAGGCACGTTATTTACAGATGATAGGGGTGGGACTATGGGGAAGCTTTCAAAATTAACACTGAATCTGTTTTGTGACTTTATGTTCATAATTCTTGCTGTACAGAAAGGAAGAGCAAACTATTTTATAGCCTAAAGTAAGTGAACTGAAATACTTCTCTTCCACTGGAAGCAAGGGAAAACCTCAATTACTCAAATCTCTTTCAAGATTGTCCACCTGGGCAATAATAGTTTTCAATTAAAAATTACAATTAATTAAGCAGACTGTTTCCTCTCTTTGCACATAACTTAAAGGTTTAGCCAGAAACTAAACACCATTTCTTAACAAAAAGCCAAACAAGAAAACCTATCAAGGTAGCAATACAGAGTTTCCTCTACCAACCTCACAAAAACAACACTGTGTCTAGGGAGGTTCTTACCAAGAGAGTCTGCTATTATAGTTATAAAACAAGTAAAAGCAAAACAAACAGGGCAACTCTAACTTTGCCCAGACACCTAGGAAGAAACTTGTTTTTTCTCTCCTCTTCATGAATACACCTTGGCATACGTGTAATACAGTCTGGTGAACTTCTCTTGTCACTCCACAATTAAGCATGTGTCCTGACATGGAAAGTCTAGATAATTTAACTGATGATCCTGGTCTTTAGTAGTAACCTGATCCTTTGTAAAAATCTTATTCATACATTTACTGCAAAGACAGACCATATTATTGCAAAACAAGGATTACTACATAACCCTTTGGTTCAAAATATTCTTATTTTTAGTCCAAGAGACAGATGCTATTTCTGATTTAAGACTACAGTTTACAGACTGTTTTTCTCAAAACTAATTATTTAGTGTAGTATTTGAGGAGAAGAGTTGTTTTGAACTGTAATAATTCTCAGTGACACCATATAAAAAGTATTAAAAATCCAAGCCGAAGAGTCACCAAATTATGACAATACATGCAGAATTTTACTAACAATGTGTTTTGGCCAGGGAAATAATTTTCAGAGTAAAATATACATTTTTAAATAGCACTGATTGCTGGCCAGTAAGTAGTATTCTCAAATAATAGGTCATCGGGCATTATCTTTATTAGTGTCTGGGAAATTTTCAAAGCTAAGATTAGAGGTCAAGTCATTACTTATGTGGCCTTTAAAAATAAAGTATCTGAACAGATACTAAATCCCTTGAGCAGAAAATAAAATTACTAGAAAGCAAGAACACTCAACAACAAAAACATGTTTTTCCATGGCCACACACCCCTGAGGTAGACTGTGCCAACTTCAAAGGCCAGAGAGAGATGTCACCAAAGCTGGCCAATCTACTCTAAGCCTGAGTACATCTCAGCCTTGAAAGTTTGAAACAAAGATGAGTATTAAGTAAATTCAAATGTCTACCTCAAAGAATAATTACACAGTCAAAATTCAAACAAAAAATTTATGGAAAATTTGGTTTAGTACTCAATTTAAAAAGTGCCAAAGACACACTGTACAGAGATTAGAAAGAGCCCCCAGAAACATTTGGATTTCTGGGAAAAGTCTCCAGAAAACAGCTTTATCTAGTGTTAAAAAGACACTGAATTATCAGATGCTATTTTGAAGAAAAAGGATGTATCATGGTAATGTATGAGTAATGAGCATATATAATAAATACTATATACACTATTTCTCAAAGCAGAAAATCTCAGAAATAGCCTGCCTGATAATTTATGGAAGGACAGATGGTAGATAGAGGATTCTGCAGTCAGTCCAGAATGTGCCACAAAAGAAAAATAAACCAATCATGGAGAAAAATTATTTTCATATAACAAATAATATGCCAAGAACATGCTTACAATACTCAGTATTATACAATCTACATTAGAGTCACTGCTTTGTAAAGGCCTCTACATTGGAAATCAATGCCACGTGGCCCTGCACAGTCAACTATCAAGGATATGTAGCCTGCCATTTCATTTCCTCATTAATTTATAATTTATGCCAGCTGAAAGACATACTTTTATGATGGCTTTTGGTTTTCTTTGAGAAACATCAGAAGCTGTGTTCTGAGTTGTCCTGCAGGGTGCTATATAACTTCCACTTTCTAAGGATTCAGCATTTATCAGAAATACTGTTTACCTGCCAAAACACAATCTCGGATCAGTAGCAATGCTGTCTTTTGGGTACAATTCCAAAGTACGGTAACCTGGACATACACTATTCAGAGACAACAATATGCTTATGATAATCCATTTTGTTTGAGTGGGGAATTTTTAGAAGATGTGTGAAAATATTCTATTGGCATTTAGGGAATCCACAAATTAAGTAGCACAGAAAACGCTAAAACAAGAATGATCCTATCTTGCTGCTTTGCCTTATTCCACTGGTGATGAAAACTAGTTGCACGTGTACACAAAGATCCACAAGCAAAAATAAAAATGTTTACTTTCTAATTTTTGAGCAAAACAAGAAATTAAATCCTTTAGTAAAGAAGCAACTAAAAAATTATAGTACATCCATATTGTGGAAGGCTGAGTAAGACTTCTGTGACTGGCATTATGCAGAGCAGACATCCTTTACACTCTTCCCAATTAACAACAAAGCAAAAAAAATTTTTTTTTACATTTTGCTGAGCAATCATAAATTGAAGATTTCACAGTGTGGACAAAAGGGAACACTTCATGCACTATTAGTGGGAATGTAAACTGGTGCAGCCACTATGGAAAACAGTATAGAGACTCCTCAAAAAATTTAGGGAAAAAACCCAACCATATGATCCAGCAATTTCACTCTTGGGTATTTATCCAAAGAAAATGAAAATACAAATTAGAAAAGATACATTCACCCTCTATGTTCATTGCAGCATTATTTACAACAGCCAATATATGAAAGCAACCTAACTGCCCATCAATATATGAATGGATAAAGAAGATGTGAGATACACACACAGACACAGACACACACATCATGAAATATTAATCATAAAAAGAATGAAATATTCCCATTTGTGACAACGTCAATAGAACCAGAGTATGATGCTAAGTGAAATAAGTCAGATAAATACTGTATGATTTCACTTCTATGTGGAACCTAAAAAGACAAATTAATAAATATAGCGAAACAGTTACAGACACAGAGAACAAACAGGGCACTGCCAGAAGGGATAAGGGTGGGAAGAGGAAAGAAATAGGTCAGGGAGGTTAAAAGGTACAGATTTTCAGCTGCAAAATAAGTCAGTGGCATAAAATGTACAGTATGGGAACTACGTTCAGTAATTATGTATTATCTTTGTATGGTGACAAATCATAACTAGACTTACCAGATGATCATTTTGAAAGGTACAGAAATACTGAATCATGATGCTGTATAAGAGGAACAAACATAGTGTTGTAGGTCAACTATACTTCAGAAACAAAATACAAACCAACTCAGAGAAAGAGATCAGATTTGTGGTTACCAGAGGCAGTGGGTAAGGGGAGGGGAGCTGGATGAAGGCAGTCAAAAGGTACCAAATTCCAGGTATAAGATAAGTTAAGTCCTAGGGATGTAACATATAACATTATAAATACAATTAACACTGCTATATATTTATACGAAGTTGTTAAGAGAGTAAATCCTAAGAGTTCTCATCACAAGGAAAAAAACGTTTTCTTGTTTCTTTACTTTTGTATCTGTATCAGATGATATATGCTCACTAAACTTAGGTGACAATCATTTCATGATGTATGCAAGTCAAATCATTATCCTATACATCTTAAATTTATACAATGCTGTTTGTCAGTTATATCTCCATAAAACTAGAAGAAAAAAAGAAAGATTTTTCAGAGAGCCAGAATGAAGTGAAATCAGGAATTGTGGATAGCAAGAAAGCAAAAAAATTAGCTTCCACCTTGAGAGTTTCTGCTGAATCCTATACACCGTGAGCATCCATACTGGCATAGAAACAGGATATAAAACAGGAGATAAAACCTAGGTGCCATCCAAAGTGAGGATATTATTAAGAAAATCCACAATTAAAGACAGGTTCCCAAAGGGTTCCACCTTTAAGAGTGAAAAAGAAATAAACTTGTCTCTCAGTAGGTTAAAATAAAAGAAACCTGTCTATCTATATATACCTTAGTGGTGAGTAAAATGAAAAAACAAAAATGTCCCCTAAGAATTTGCAACCATAAGCTTGCATTCTCATGAGTTGTGGGCCAAATTCAACCTATTATTTGGTCCAGAAAATCTCAAGCATAGAATTTAATTTGCAGGGTTCCTAATTACGCATGTGGCAAAGGTCAAGTAAACCTGAAGATGGGTTAATAAAAATTAATCAAACTAAAACAAAAAGAGAAAAAGAGGTGTAAAAAACAAACAAACAAACAAACAAAAAAAACAAAACAAAAAATAGGAT